AAAGGCCCAGGGACACAGAAGTAAACACACACACACACACACACACACACTCGTCGGAGACCTGGAGCCCCCCGCCGGCGGCGCGCGGCGCCCTCGCGGCAGAGGGGGGGGGGGGCCCGCCGCCGCCTCCTCCCCCCGCCGCCTGCGCCGTCGCCTCCCCCCCTCGCCTCCCCCCCCGCCCCCCCCCCCTCCCCCCCCCCCCTCGCCCCCCCCCCCCCACCCCCGGCCTCCGCCCCTCGCCTTGATGGAACATCCCACTTTTCTTGTGGCCACCGGCAGCCACAAAGAACGCATGATGAGGCTTGTATTCAAAATGGCCACGGGCAGCCATGGAAAGAACATGAGATGTTCCCCCTCGCCACCGCCCGCTCGCCCTCCTCCCTCGCCGCCCCCGCCCCCCTCGCCTCCGCCCCCCCCCCTCTCCGCCTCCGCCCCCCCCTCCGCCCCCCGCTCGGCGCCCCGAGGGCCTCGGCCGCCGCCGCGAGGCCCGCGCCGTCGCCGCCGGTGGAGGCGTAGCGCCGCAGGGCCCGCGCCGCCAGCGCGCCTGGGGGCCCCAGGCCGCGCGCGGGGGAGCGGGGGTCCTGGTCGGCGGCGCCCGCAGCGGGCGCGCGGCGCGAGGGGGCAGGAGAGCCCAGAGCCGGAGCGACAGGTCGGATCGGCCACCGAAGGCAGCCGCACACGGCGGAGCTCGGCCACCGAGGCGGGCAGGACAGCCGAGGACGGTCGAGCCGGGGACCCGGCGGCGGGGCTCCCTGGAAGGCGGGGCCTTCGATGAAGGACCCAGAAACACACACACACACACACACACACCAACAAAAAAAACGCCATTAACATAAATTCTGGCGCTCCGCGCAGATTTCTTGGATCTGGCGCAGAGCGCGCCAGGGGCGGCGCCGGAGGCGCCGCCAGGGGTGCCTCAGCGCGGATCCAAGAGATCCGCGCAGAGCGCCAAACGTCTGTGTTTATGGCGTTTGTGTTCTTTTCCGAGGATTCGCAGAAGGCCACCTGGGGGGGCCTCCACGAGAGGGTCTCTCTTGGAAGCAGGGCGGGCCTCTGAGCAGCCCCCCCCCTGCCTCTCCTTGGGAGCCCCGCCGCCTTCTCGGGAGGCCAACCCCCCCTCGCGCCAACAACGAGGAGAAAAAGGAGGAGGAGGAGGAGGAGGAGGAGCAGGAGGAGCAGGAGGTGGAGAGGGAGGAGGAGGACGAGGAGGACGAGGAGGAGGACGAGGAGGAGGACGACGAGGAGGAGGAGGAGGAGGAGGAGGAGAAGGAGGAGGAGTTGGAGAGGGAGGAGGAAGAGGAGGAGGAGGAGGTGGAGGAGGAAGAGGAGGAGGAGCCCCACCCCCCGCGGGCGCCGCCGACCTCTGGGCAGGAGGGGCCCTGCGGCGCGCGCGGGTCGCAGGCCGTGGCGGCCCGTGCGCCCGGGTGTGCCCCGCCCCCGTCCGGAGAGGAGGCCCCCTCGCCGTGCGCCCGCGGCGCTCCGACGACTTCTTTTTTTGTTATGACTACCTACCAGACCACCCCAACCCAACCCGAAGACCCGAATTTCGGGTTGGGAGGGTAAGGGTTCCACATGTGTTTTTTCTATGTTTTCCGACCCCCCCCCACTGGAAATCGAGGGTAAATCCGAGCCTTCGGGTTGGGTTGGGGTGGTTTGGTGGGTGGTGATGTTAGGCGCTTCCGGTCGTCGCACGAGTTATTTCAGAACGCGCTGTAAGTCACCCTGACGACGTTCGGCGCTCATTCGCAGAACCAAGCCACGCGATGCTCGCCCAGCATCAGACAGATCGGGCAGGAGTAGAGAATGCCAATGATACGGATTCCCTTGGAGACGTATCGGCCCCGCGGCGCTCCGACGACTGAACAAGCCGAAGGATGAAGGCTGAAAGAGCCTCGGTCTTAGTCTTCAAGTCTTCACTCCTCGGGTCTGCAGGGCTTTGTTCGGCCTTGGGTGTCCTCCAGTCTTCAGTGTTTGTCCCCGGGTTTGTTCAGTCTAGGGCATTGTCGGCTTCCTCAGTTTCCCCGATTCCCCGATGTTTGTCGGGGTTCCCCGATGTTTGTTTTGCTTTTGGTTCCCGCTCGGCCGCCTCGCGGGCCGGGGGAGGCCTGGAGGACCTCGGGTTGTGATGTTCCAACTCACTTTAGCCTTCATCACCAGCAAGAATTTCGAGCCCCAAGAAAGAGCACCAAGGAAGTACCGAAACTGATGGGTTGTCGCGCGCCGGGCCCTGGGAGGAGACACTCGCTCGACACTGCTTCGATACTTTTCGGGGTGCTCGCAGTTACTTCTGGGATGTGGTCCTTACGCACGATGGGAGCAACTGAAGGAGCCCCAGGACACACAAATAAATACACACAAATAAAACTATTCCCCATATTTTCCCATATTTTCTGGGTTTCTGTCTTCCCCCCACTTCCCATATTTTCCTATATTTTCTGGGAAATCGACGATTAATTGTGTCTGTGTGTTTCTTTTCCTCTTGAAACATAAACATAGGGAAGCCCATGCGAGGGCCCAGGCCGCTGGGCACCTCTGGGCGGCCCCGGCGGCCCCTGGGAGGCCCAGGAAGAGGCGCCTGCGCGGCCCCTGGGAGAGCCCCAGCGAGGCCCAGGAGGTGCCCGGGAGGCCTCGGCGGCATCGGTACAGCGGGGGCTCGACCAGAAGAAGCCTTCCACAAGAGACCCAACCCTGAGACCCCGGGACGTCCATTGACTTTTTTGGTCTGGGAACGTCACACTTCCCACAGCAAAACCATCGAATCCCAAGAAACCCAGGGCACCCTGGAGGCAAGCAGGGTGTTTCTTGGCATGGGTCTCCACCACTGTACCTGTTCCTCCTCTGCCCCCCCCCCCGCCGCGCCCCCGCAAGCCACGAACCAAGCACACCTGGGGAGAAGGGTCCCTCTTGCGTGCAGCCGAGCCTGGGACGTCGGGGACGGGGCCGGACCGCCAGTGCTGCTCGAGCAGGAAGTCGTAGAACGCCGGGTTCTGGTCGATGCCCTCGCCCGTGAAGCCCGTGCCCCAGACGTTGCCTCCGGCCTCGAGGGCGGCGAACGGCATGGCGTTGACCTTGCGGAGGTCCCCCTTGAGGCCGTCGGTGCCGCCGAAGTTGTGCAGGGCCGTCCAAATGAACTGGGCCCCGAAGAAGGGAGCGGTCCCGTTCCACCAATCCGAGAACTTCTGCCACTCTCCGGAACCGTAGTCCATGTCGACGATGCTGAAGCGCCCTGCTGGCACCGCCGAGACGAAGCCCTTCAGGTACGAGGCCTGTCGCGGATCCTTCCAGTACTCGAAGGCGAAGCCCTGGAACGACCACACCTAGAATTACGTTTGAGAAGAAGCTGGGCAAACAGAAACTTTCGGAGGTGCGCACTGATTACTTGGGTCGGCGCTGGACCCCTCCCCCCCACAAAAGACAGGAGGCAGCATGAGGACAGGGCTGGACGAAGGTGCATCAGGCAGCCCCTCGAGCTGGCGGGCCTGGCGGATGTATCGGGCACGGCGGCCATCGCTCTGGTAGTTCGGTGGCAACCCATGGGAGCCTCGCACGCCATCTTGCTGGCCTGTGCGGACCGACCGATCCGACGCCAGTCGACGCTCGTCGACGTGAATCGACGCTGAATCGGCGTTCATCGACGCTACATCGGCGCTAGCGCACACTACGAGGGCTCCCATGATTTGCTCCCGAATGACAGCGTTCGACAACGCTCTGGGGTTGTGAATGCCATAACAATGGACATTCTAACAATCCTATCACTGAATTAAAGATGTGTTTAAAATGTGTAAAACATGTTCTAACCATGTTTCAAACATACCTTTAATAAATGTAAAACATAGCTGGAACATCTTCTAGGCATCTGGAAAATAGTTGGCAGCACGCTTCCTCTCCATTCATCGACTTCCACAACTCTGGGGCGACCTGTCCTCATCCTGCGCGCCCCTCCCCCGGCGCGCTAAGCGAGCCAGAGGCGCGGGCGGGTTTTGGGGTGGTCCCGCGCCGGCGAGGCTTCGGGATGAGAACAGACAGCCCATCCGGGCAGCCCCCCCGCCAGCCTCAACAGGCTGGCGGCGCGCACAAGGGGGTCGGAGGGAGGGGGGAAGACTTCTCAGCAGGAGGATGCTTCTCGGAAGGCGCCGGCCCTACGTCAAAAGAGGAGGCCCGCGCCTCCTGAGAAGCAGGGGTGCTTCTAAGAAGCCTTCCCCTCGCCCCCTACCTAGAGTTAGGTCGGGCCTGTCCCCCTACAGGCGGATTTTGGAGAAAAACTAAAAATACTCCAAAAATATGCAATTCAAACATGGATATGAATTACGCGAAAAAGAGTTCCCATACTTCTTTCTGTTATTCTTGAATACTTCCCTTGTAGAGGGACAGGCCCGACTTAAGCCTACACCCTGCGAAATGCTTAAGAAATCATGGGTTAAGAAATTCATAGTCTCAGAACTTGAATTTAAACCCAACATTTTTATTAAAATCTTAGGATTTACATTGAAACATTAAGAATAATCGAGACTCTGGCCGAAAACCTAAGTTTTCTTTAGCATCGCCTAAGGTGTAGAGGCCTCCCCGGGTGGACCCCCTGCGTAGTGGCTGTGGCTGAACAGGCCCCCCCGAGTAGTCTGTGGCGGTCTCAACACCCTGGCGCCGCCTCCTGCGGCGCACGCGGGGTTGTCGCCTCCTCCTCCTCCTCCTCCTCCTCCTCCTCCTCCTCCTCCTCCTCCTCCTCCTCCTCAGGCCAGCCAGGGCTGCCTGGGGTAGGGGGCCGCATGCGAACCCTACCCCCCCCCCCCGATTTCTGAAGGGGGAGGGTGGGGCCCCGCCCTCCCCCTCGGAGATCGTGGGGAATAGGGGTACAGCCAAAAACCCTGATCAGGTCGCGCGACTTTGCTCAGGGTACCCTGGCGTCCTTGCTTTTCCCTGCTCTTGCGCCCTTGGGGTTTTCGTCGTCCGCCGCCCCAGAAATCCCAACTTCGGCTTCCAAGGGTCTTGCGTCCTTACCGCGCGTCCTTCTTAGGGTCTTCTACTGCAGGGTTCGCATGCGGCCCCCTATGGGGGGGGGGCTCTCTGCGCGCATCCCGAGGCCTTCCAGCATGAGCCTTCGGAGATCCGCGCGGCTCTCCTGGATCGGCCCTGGTGCCTCTTCCTCGGCGCCGGAAGCCGCCCGGGGGCGCCAGCGCCGATCCGAGAAATGCGCGCGGACCTCCAGAAGTTGATGCTCATGGCGTTGCTTGCTTCTCGATTGCCATCCAAGGCCGACCCAAGAGATCCGCGAGCGCCTCTCGTGCCGCGCGCTGCTCTCCCCCTCTCTCCCTCTCTCTCCCTCCCTCTCTCTCTCTGTCTCTGTCTCTCCGAGCACCGCGGCGGGGTCCGTCGAGTTGAGCCCGCGGAACGCGGCCGCCCCCCGCTCGAACCAGCTCGGGTCCACGGGCACCTCTGGCCGAGAGGCTATGTTCTCTGACTGTCTCTGCCTCCTCCTGGAGAGCGCGCAGGCGGCCTCAGGGCACGGGACATCAGTGTACTCAGAGGCTGTCCGAAAACTGTGCAGACACAGAGGGCTCAGAAGGGAATGCGGTCGAGGCCAGTTCACGAGAGCCCTCCCCCAAGAAATACAAAACCCTGAGACCCCAAGACGTGCCTCAACTTCTGGTGTGGGGACGTCGCCCTTTCCATCGCGCAAAGCCCTCGAAACCCAGGAAACCCAGGGCACCCTGGAGGCGAGCAGAGTGTGTCTCGGCATGGGCCTCCACTGTGCTATGAATGCAAGGCCCCCCTTGCAGGCGCACGTCCGATCCCAGCATACAGCGAGCACAGACAGATTCGGAGTAGACCGCTGTCCAGGCGACATGGCCAGCATGCGGCCCCGCCAACGAGCACGTGCTGTAAGATTTCTGAGCGCGCGCGACGCCCCTGGGGGGCCGAGAAGTATGGTTGGGCAGGACTGGAACTAAACATTGCTTTTCGTGCTTTTGTTCCGATATGTTGATCGCTTTGCTCTACATGCTTTCCTGCACCTCCCTGCCAAAACGAAAAAACAAAACACAGCCGAAGTCCAGCAAAACAGCGTTTAGGTCCAAACCCTGTGGATGGGTGATGCCGTCGGGGCTGATTGGAGAGGACGCGCGAGAGGACACAAGACCCCTCCGAGGCCACATGGTCGCAGGAATGTCAGAAAGCATGGGTCGCGAAGCTCAGAGCACAAGGATACCCTTGATTTGGCAGGGTCGACCTACGAATCGTCTCTGGGCACAAACTTCCAGAGGTCCGCGCGGACTCCTTGGACAGGCGCTGGACCAGCCAGTCCCTGGCGCCAAGGAGGCGCCGCCAGAGGAGGCCCAGCGCCGACCAACGAAATCAGCGCGGATCGGGTCGGGCGAAAGGGGGGGATAGCAAAGGGGGGGGGTGAGAATCCGCTCACGCAGCTGATTTTCCCGGCGCCTCCCGGCGCCGGAGGCGGCCATGCATCGAGCAATGGGCCCCTCGGTGAGGCCGAAACCATGCAGCAGATTTCCTAACCCCCCCTTTCCCAATCCCCCCCGTTCGTCCGGCCCGAGCGGAACTGCGAGCGCGTACGGCCGGGAGCTCTCGTTTGGCAAGTCGCGGCGGCGGCCCTGGCGGCACGCCGTGCCCTGCGAGCGGCTGGCGTGGCGCTCCGCGCCGCGTGGCGGGAGGCCAGAGGAAAAACTCGGGACGCTCACGCCTGGGATTAAGTTGGGCCTGTCCCCCCTACAGGCGGATTTTCGACGAAAAAATTATCCAAACATAATCTGGAGACTATTTTTTGATTTTTTTGTTTTGCCTTTTGGAAGTATGTTTGAGGTATCTTTCATTTTTCGTCGAAAGTCCCCCTGTAGGGGGACACGCCCGACTTAAACCTGGGAAAAAAGAAGTGGTCAGCTCCTCGCCCCGAAGCGTGCTGGGGCAGAACTGGCGGAGCGACGCGCTCGTGGAGGGAAAAAAAGCCATGACCAAGACTGAACGCGGAAACGTCGGTGCCTACCTTGATCACCGTCCATCTTGGTTCGTGGTGATCATCCATTCGTGGATCATCTTCGCGAACCGGCGACGGCCAGCATGGACCATGACCAAGATCGGCATCGACAAGCTCCCGCGACACCTGAGACGTGGTCATCGTTTGTTGCCTCACTCGAGCCAAGCAAAAGTTCCCGACCGGATGCTGGCGCAGCTTTCTGCGAGACGGGGATAGATCCATACCCACAGCCTGTGGAACCGACGTCCTGGCACCGCTTGTCGAGGTCTCCGCTCCTCCTCCTCCTCCTCCTCCTCCTCCTCCTCCTCCTCCTCCTCCAATCGTCCAGGCGGTGTTTATGTATAAATCCCCGCCTCGGATTTCTGCTCGTCCTCTGGCCTCGTCCTCGGAGCCAGCCGGGGCAGCGTGCTCGCGCGGGCCTCGAAAGGCGACACCAACACCACCAGGGCGAGGAGATGCGAGGAGCAAGGTGGGTCTCAGTGTGGCCCCCCCCCCTCTCACTCGAGACACCCCCA